AGAAATAATATTTTTTAATAATCCCTTTTTCATTCTACATACTTTATCTTAATTAGGATATTAATAATGAACTAGCAGATAATGTAGCTTTTGGAATAGTCCACCAATTTTTTAAAATTAAACAGTATCTAAAGATTTGCATCGAAGCGTTTTTTTTTTGATAGTGATTTTAATCACTGTCAGATATCATATACTTGATCCATCTATACCACGTCACCACTGTGCCGCGAGCCCCCTGTGCTGGGTTTTTTTTATTAAGTTTAATGTCTGTTTTCACCATGAAGATAAAATAAAGTCCGAAATTTTTTTTTACCATTATAAAGTATATTACATTAGCTTTAATTTAAGATATATATAAAAGTGTCAGACCTTCCGGAACACTTTCAAAAGTTACGTTGAAAAAGTTCTACTTTCTATATGCATTTTTATGTTTTGAATCCCCCCTGTATTTAGGGAAATGGTCCGATTTAAAAAAACAGTATGTCGAATGAAAGATCTATATAAATACTACTTCTCATAAAAAAATTGTAATGATTCATACATTTTTCAAAAAGTTATAGCATAATAAAGTTAAAAATGGAAAATACAAAATCGAAAATTTTCACACAAAAATAGCATTCGGTAGCCATTTTCACCATGAAGATAAGATAAAGTCCGAAATTTTTTTTTTTCATGATAAAGCATATTACATTAGCTTTAATTTAAGATATATATAAAAGTGTCAGACCTTCCGGAACATTTTCAAAATTGAAATTAAAAAAATTAATTTTTTGTGAAAAAGTTGTCATTTTAAATCTCCCCTTGTGGGCAAGTAAAGAGTCACATATAAAAAAAAAATATACCAAATGAAAGGTAATAATATCATGCATCTATAAAAAAAAGAATTATATTGATATGTTCATTTTTGAAAAAGTTATAGCACTTTTAAGTAAAAAAAATGGAAAAAATTAGCCATTTTTAAATTTGTAATTTTTGTGGAGGTTTCCCCCATTTACGGGGAACGTGGGAATTATTTTCAATTTTTGAGGGTAATGTCTGCGACTAGATACGATTTGTGATCTTTTGACGTATCATTGAAAGAAATCGGTTCTGTGAGAGCTGAGAAAAAGTGGTAACAGACAAAAAAAAAAAAAAAAACATCTTAGTAAAACCAGTACCTTCTCAGCTTCGCATCAAAGCTAAAAAAAATTTTTATAAATTTGTAACAGTAAAAATATAATATTTCAGTTGTTTGGAACCATTTAACAATTAAGAAAATTAAAAGTTTAGAGCTTCAATAGATATCTCTCTTAGAAAATGTATAGTTTGTTGTATAAAATTTGATTTTTATATTATTATTAATTACCTCATGGGTTGTTGTCGTCAGCGCTTTTAGTGATTTATAGTTTATGGTATGAAATTTGAATATAACATGATTATTATTTTAAGATAAGATGCATAGTATACATTGAATAGTATGCAAAATTTTAATTGATTATTGTATACTATACAATAATCATTTAAAGATGTATATACATACATAATAACTTTTTCATTAATAAATGTAAGATGCGTAATGAAAAGCATTAGGCATATTACGACACAATTATTGATTAAAATTCTCTTTCATATAAATGTGGCAATGTATACTAAAAACCCTCTCGGAGCTAACCTATAATATATACTTATATGATAGAAACCATAGTAATACATAAAACATTTACTAAAAACATAACAACGCTTACACCCTCACATAAGACAAAATTATTTTTATCATTTTAACATTAAAGTATTATTCACATTACAATATAACATCAGAATTAATGAAGGTGGTAAACTTTTTAAAATGAGTAAGTATTAAATATATATGTATATTCATTTTTAATCGAGATTTTAATTTAATGGCTTGCGACAACAACCAGATAAATCTACTTTTTGATATTATTTAAGACAAAGAAAATAATGTTTTCATAAATCATTATTTATACAAAATAATGAAGATAAAAGCTATGTGTCTTTTATTAGTACTTAAATATTTTTAAACCTTGTAGGATTTTCAATGATATAATTATTGAGAATTCATAAAAAACAACTTGAGCCTTTAAAAATGTAATAAAAGGATACCTAGATGTAAAAAAATTTATTATTGTTCTATTCACTTATATTATATTCGTTTTATTTTATTTACTTAATTCGTAATACATATTAATAATTATAGAGGGAGATGTTGATGTGAAAATTTTACTTGTCTGTAGCCTGGATCTACTGACGTCGAATTAACAAAGGACAGTTGTGTTTGATTGGCCATATAGTTATAGACATATTTTTCGATACTATCAATTTTGTCTTATTTATATNAGAGGGAGATGTTGATGTGAAAATTTTACTTGTCTGTAGCCTGGATCTACTGACGTCGAATTAACAAAGGACAGTTGTGTTTAATTGGCCATATAGTTATAGACATATTTTTCGATACTATCAATTTTGTCTTATTTATATAGCTAATAACTTAACTTATTTTATTTAACTATTCGTCTATTGTCTATTTTCATCATAGCCAACCAACTCCGTCTCACTTAATTATACCTACTAACCAACTTTACAAAGATTCAGGTCAAATATATTGTACATTACATAAAACTTATATTTATTGAAAGTTTAAAATATAACCTTACTTTGCCGTTAACATAAAACAATAGTTTAACTTTGTTATGTTATCTCTCACTAGTAACTAAGGTGTACACAATTGCCTGTATCTTCTTCAGACAAATTAAAATTCATATAAGGAGATAGGGACAATATTTGAGACGTTTGGTAGCTTTTTATTTTCAGTTTTGACCAAATTGGTGTTAGGGTTGCGTAGTTTTAAATGCAACCATTTGCACATAGGTAAATGGTTGCCGTAGTTAAAAAACATGCAATTTAGGTGTTAAAATTTATGATTTCATATTTTATTTTTTTAACTTTAGATAACTATAACTTTTTGAAAAATTTTCCTTTATAAGGGAAGGGTAACATTTTTTAAAATTCGAGTAAAATGTACAACTTTTTCAATTTAACTTTTGAAAATACTCCGGAAATACACCGAGCTTTAAATATATGTTAAATTAAAGCTTATGATAAATACTATAAGTTTAAAACAAAAATGTGTTCCGAAATCTTTTCTTCTATGGAGAAATGGCCGCTGAATTGAACAAAAACAATAATTTTCGTTTAGAAATATATATTTTCTTCTTAGTGAAAATGACTACCGCATTTAAATATATGCTATTTTTGTGTTAAAATGCTCGGTTTTCTATTTTATTTTATTTTAAAATACCTTACAAGGGGAGTGCACTAATTTTCATGAATATTATATAAATCCAATTTATATATAATAAAGTTAAACTCCTTTTATTTTTTTGTTTGTTTTAAATCGAAAAAAATAACCTTGAAATTTTGAATTAGCTTAAATAGCCATTTTTATCTTCCGACAAATGCGAAGTGCAGTTGACATGTCCGGAAACGTATGTCTTATACAATGGGATACGAGGTCTAAACCCACATGGGAGAGTGAATTTTTGTACATTTTTTTCTTAATTATTTTTGAGTTAGAAAAAAAATGTTTAGTCGTTTTTAGTACTTTGTATCATTAATCATTCTCAATACTCGGTTGTCACTATACATCTTAGAGTACTTTATTTATCGTAAAGAGTAATTATAACATTTCCTAACTGCATATTAGTCTTAAAAATACCATTTTTTTAATTCTCATAAAATTTTCTATTTAATGATATCAATTTCAATCTTGCAATTAAGCTAAAAAAGTTATGGCAACATATTCAATTTTTTTACTATAAACTTTCACAAAACTATCAAAAATTTTTCATCAACTTTAAAGGACCAAAAAAATATGTTAAAAATAAAATTTTGGACTGATTATTTTTAATTTTTACTAAATTTTTTCAAAATTTTAATGAGCTTACTTATTTTCCACAAAGATTTTTCTTCTTTCACTTTTATTATGAATTTCTTGTTTTTTTTAATTAAATTGAAAAAGAAGTTGTGAAACGAAAATAGAAATTAATAGGATATGATAGAAAAAGTGTATTATATTATGATAATAATGGACACATGTATTTACCTATGTTTAATTTTGATTAATACCACTAACTGTAATAAAATAAAACACGCCATTATCAGCGGCTCGGTTTTTATAGTATGTATGGGCCTATTTTAACGCAGCAGTTTAATTTTTCGCAATTTTTTATCGCAGCCGCACACGCTTAAAACCCCTAATGTGTAACTATTATAATACACAAAAGTTCACGAATAATGGTAGCTAATAGCTATATTATGACGTCGCTATCGTAGTAATTGATTTTTTTTTGTCAATTATGACTTTATCAATAGATATGCTTTCTGTATTTTTAGTTGGCGTATTTATAAACCCACAACAATGTGCCTTTCTACACCATTGATAATGAATGCTACGTATCTGCAATCATTGACATCATAAAAAAACAATTAGCTACCTGTATTTTTCATCATTCGTGTATTATACATGTAAATTAATTTAAAAATTTGAAAATTTAAAGTTTTATATCTAATAAACGAATAATGTTATCCTAAAAATTCAAATACCATTTACTATTAAAATGAAAACTATTAAATTTCCAAATTTTTGTTTTCATTTGATAAAACAAAGTTGACACCCTTACAATGCATAAGGAATAAACTTAAGAAGTATTAATATATAATATTCTTGTCAAATGTAATATATGATTAGGAAAAGAAAGACATTCCGGTCACTTTCATCTAGTTTAGATAATCAATTTATTAAAAATATTTTTCAAAACGCATTGATGCTTTTATGGACAATGATTTTTATATTTTTAAAGTTTTAATTATATTTTTAATTAACAGACAATTAAATTGCACTACAAATAATGTGTGTGTAAATAAAATTGTTTCATTATTTAATATTGATTAATAAAAATATTCTTTAATCAATTAACAAGACTTCAATTCATATAAAATTATTTTATATGCGTAAAATAGTATTTATAAAGTGAATTATAACATAGAAGTTATGTCGCAAAAATGTGGTCGATACTGGTTTTGAGGCTAGAGACCCGTGGGCCGTTTATTAAATGAGCGACAACACATTATTTTAATAAAAATAAAACAAACCGAAAAGATAAACACAGTAATAATAATCTTCGCATAATATCGCGGCACTTTCGTTGACGTCGACGACGCGATGTCCGGCGTAATCCTTAAACGGCAAAATTGTTAGCAGCGTTGTAGGCGACGGTGCGCGGGTGCGGTTCAGTTGGTCGACATTGTCGCTTTCACAACGGGAGGAAGACTCTCGCACCATTTGCGGCGGGTCTCGTCGGCCGTGCGGCATTTGCTGGACTTTGCACCGTAGCGTATAACACGCGGTGTTGGTCAGTCAAATACTCATAGTAGGGCGACGGCTGATAAAGGTGTCACGAATCGCGGGGCAATCGTGTATAACGAAGCGACGCGAGCCGTGTCAAAGTATAACAAATTTTTATAATCTATATTGTGTATTCTATTATATCTTTATTATAAATTAATCATTAATAATTATTTTATGATTTAATAGTTAATGAAAGAGCAAACAATGAAACTAAGAAACCTGTTGTTGTTGGAAAACACTTACTTGAACTATCAACAAAGAAGTTGGATTATCCACCATTGTTTAGTCAACATACATGGACAAAATCTGTACCCTATTGTGTAATTTTACTTCAATTAGTTTTAATAGAATTTTTTATTGAATTATAATAATTATTTATAGCATAGAATTATCGATGTAAAGCCTTCAATGTCAATAGGGCGAAATTACAGATTAGAACTTGAAAAATATTTGCATAAAAATACCAGGGAGTCATATAAGACATTAAATAAAAGAAACTTTAATGATCAAGGTCATTTTATTAAATCTCTAACAGTTAAACATAAAAATAATGTATCAAGAAACAAAAAAATTGAAAAATTACATAAACCCGGGATCGTTCCACTAGAGGTATTGATTATATATTATTTTCAACTGAGTATCGTCTAAGTACAAATTAATTATATTTATATATATAAATATATGTCCATTAATTATCCCCTCATAAATCTTAAAATAGCAAAAAATCATAAACTCAAAATTTACTACTAAGTTTTCGACAATAATATTTTACTAACTAATTTTAACTTAAAAATATCTACGGTGATATATATTATGTGAATAGCAAGGGGGCAGATGATTAATGACCTTAGCGGTATAGTTATCAATTATGGTGCAGGTTAGTATCGCTCTAGAATGACTGACTATGTTGGGGAGTGAATGTCACCGCGTTTATGATAGGAAGAATTCAGTATTATTGGCAATGTTAAAATGTATAAAAATATTTTATACCGCTTCAACATACAGCATAAAAATCTTAACGTACAAGATAAATTAATAACAGTTACATATTTTTTGTGTTAAAATAAAAAGGCTATAAAATGAAAAATGTTGTACTTCTCAACATTTTTTTTGATTCCCGATGACTTATGCGAGATTTATTAAATACACTTTCATTAATTTTATCTATTTTGTTCTTTTTTTGTTCCGTCCATCATTGGACTAGCCAAGAATCACCTTTGACTCCCTAACATGTGAAAGGGAGCCACCACCTTCTATAGCATGTTAAATTCGGGAAATAGAAGAATGTAAATCTGATCATTATTGTTATTTAGTCATTTATATAAAATATATTTTAACTGAACGCCTTTAAACTTTTTAATTTTTTCAGGAATTACTATCTGGAAAATATTATAATGAAAAGTCAAATGTTCTTGAAAATAAAAAAATCTTAAAGAAAAATTATTATACGCCATTAAAGTATGATACTAGTTTTTTAATTTTAGTTTTTGATAACTTCTTTTTAACACGCTTATATTAGTTTCACATGTATGTGTGTTTGTAACTTTCTAAGCGGCACGTTTTACTATTCTTGCGTATCCGTCGTCTATGACCTTGAGACTAGACGTCGTAACGCATTCACCACACCCTGCTCACCACACGCCAATAACACTATTCCTGTATAATTTTATATTTTTGGTTTTCGTACCCGTACACGCGTGCGTGTCAACAATTATATATATATATAAACAAATTTTTTTGACTGACCAATACCGCCCGCGTGCCATACGCCTTACGTATTGTTTGTAACAATGAGAACAATAGAAACCCGTTTCCTGACTTACTGAACACCCTGTATATTCCTACTGCCGCTGCCGCCGTTTATACCTCAGGTATAAACAGGTATAAGGGCCTCGCCCTTATAAAATTTTTTAATACAAGTTTTTTTGTTCTTTTATTTATTCTCTTTTATAATTTTTAGCTTCGATGCGAAGCTGAGAAGGTATTGGTTTTACTATGATGTGTTTTTTTTAGCTTCGATGCGAAGCTGAGAAGGTATTTTACTATGATGTGTTTTTTTTTTTTTTTTTTTTGTGTCTGTTACCACTTTTTCTCAGCTCTCACCGAACGGATTTCTTTCAACGATACGTCAAAAGATCACAAATCGTATCTAGTCGAAGACATTACCCTTCAAAATTGAAAAAATTTCCCTCGTTCCCCGTAAATGGGGGAAACCTCCAAAAAAATTACAAATTTAAAAATCGCTAATTTTCGAAATTTTTTCAATTTTTTTTACTAAAAACTGCCGTAACTTTTTCAAAAATGAACATATCAATATAATTTTTTTTTATATAGATGCTTGATGTCTTTACCTATCATTTGGTATATTTTTTTTGTAAATCTGACACTTAACCTGCCCACAGGGGGGGATTTAAAATGACAACTTTTTCACAAAAAATTAACTTTTTCAACTTAACTTTTGAAAATGTTCCGGAAGGTCTGACACTTTTATATATATCTTAAATTAAAGCTAATGTAATGTACTTTAATTTGAAAAAAAAAAATTTGACCTCTGGACTTGTCTTCATGGTGAAAACGGCTACCGAATGCTATTTTTGTGTGAAAATTTTCGATTTTATAATTTACATTTTTTACTTTAAAGTGCTATAACTTTTTAAAAAATGTATGGATCAATACAATTTTTTCATGAGAAGTAGTATTTATATACATCTTTCATTGGATATACTTTTTTTTTAAATCAGACTATTTCCCTATATATGGGGGGGCTTCAAATATAAAAAATGCATATAGAAAGTAGAACTTTTTCAACTTAACTTTTGAAAGTGTTCCGGAAGGTCTGACACTTTTATATATATCTTAAATTAAAGCTAATGTAATATACTTTAATTTGAAAAAAAAAAATTTGACCTCTGCACTTGTCTTCACGGCGAAAATGGCTACCGAATGCTATTTTCGTGTGAAAATTCTCGATTTTATTATTTATATTATATTTAACTTTATAATGCTTTAACTTATTGAAAAGTTTATGAATCCACACAATTTTTTCATGAGAAATAATATTTTTTAATAAACCCTTTTTCATTCGACATACTTTATCTTAATCAGGATATTAATAAGGAACCAGCAGATCAAGTAGCTTTTGGAATAAAACACCAATTTTTTAAAAATTAAACACTATCTAAAGATTTGCATCGAAGCGTTTATTTTTGATAGTGATTTTAATCACTGTCAAATATCATTATACTTGATCCAACTATGCCACGTCACCACTGTGCCGCGATTTTTTTTTTGTATCGTTTTACGGTCTTCAACACGCATGTTTTGTTGAAAATAGCCAACTTTATCATCTCATTACACAAAAGTGACTGAATGAATTTTATTCAAATTTACATAGTACTTACCTTTAAGCAATTAAAATATCTGGTGAAAATTTGATGACGGAGAAATAATTTTAACGCCACTTATAGAACTTACAAAATTTACAATTTGCGTATTATGGTAAATCCACAAACTATACGTAATTTTCAACATTTTATTTTTATTTTTTCATTTATTCTGCACGAAAATAAAATACTACATACCATTGTAAGCAACTATTTTTAAAATTATTGTTCTTGTTTAGTACTAAGGGAAAGTATAATAGTGTCGATGAAACAGTTGTGTTTATTATACATAGGGTTTTAATTTTATCATATTACTTATAGTGACTTTTGTATCAATTTCTTCATGTAATATGACAATTTTAAATAGCATTTAAAACTGGTTGTCTATTTTTATTAAATATTACATGATTGTCCATATAAAATTACAATTGTGTGTCACTGAGCAGTCCAGTCAATGTATAACTTTTATTATTGTGACTAGTTAATTGTGTGTCAATAAAATCGATTTCAACTATTGTTTTTGAGTATAATTAGTTTAAATTTATTATTATGGAATGCTCAGTCAGTATATCAGTGAACGAAGAGTGTCACAAATCTCTTTACGGTGTTAATAACCAAATATTTTTTATTTTTCTAATGAAAACCAACAACTCCTTGCTTGTAGAATAAACTGTTCTTTAACTACAATTTATGAGTATCACAGTAAAAAAAAATTTAGATTGTTTTTATTTTGTGTTCGGTAGAAAATGTTCTGATCCGTTTAATATACATAAAATAACTGTCCACAAAGGTCTGATTGAAATAAAACTACAAACCGTTCTTGAATATTCAAATTTGGAATTAATACCTGAAAAGACCTTATGTAAAACATCTTTAAAACGTTTGAAAGATTCCGCTGATTACTTGAATATGAGCGTTGAGCATGATGAACCCGTGTATAAGTCTATAGAAAATAATTTAGAAACAATAAATAACGCTTATAACAATTTAGGTATATCACCAGTTTTATTAAACCACCTAAGTAAAACTCATCGACCAGTTATTTTTGAAAAAAAAAAGGTGAAGCTACAAGTACTACAGTAAAAAAAAAAAATTTCTTATGAAATTATGAAATTCCTTCTTCTTCTTCCAATAGCACACATTTTATTTCTAACGATAATTATGTCGTTAAAGAGTATGAAAGTTTAATAAATAACTTAAAAATAAAATTTAATGAAACAATGAAACTAGCCAACACATAAGAATTTTAAGTCTGTTGCCTAAATCTTCGTCGGTTTCAAAAATTCGTGAAGAGTTTGGTGCCACAAAATACTTTGTGAAAAAGGTAAAAAAATTAGTCGATTTTTATCTGACATTGTCGTTCAAAAACCTGGTCGAGTAATTGATTCGAATGTAGTAAAAAATATTGATGACTTTTATCATAATGACGATTATAACAGGGTATGTCCCGGTATGAAAGACGTCATTAATATAAGAGATGCTGATGGTACAAAAATTACTAAACAGAAAAGATTGATTTTGTGTAACTTAAAAGAATTATATATAAATTAAAAAACGGAAAATCTTAATGACAAAATTGGTTTTACTAAATTTGCTGAATTAAGACCTAAAAGGTGATTTAAGCTGGAGTAAGTGGTACACATTCTGTATGCATGTGCGTAATCCATCAAAATATAAAACTTATCGCACACCCATATCAAAACAGTATCAACTCAAAAAATTAGTGTTTTTAGTTAAACGTATATTCGAATTCTACAAATGAAATTACATTAAACAACAAAACAGGTTTATCTTTATCTTTATTATTATCCGTCAGATGGCAGTGTAAGTACATGTTGTCGAATGAATCATACAAAATTACCACCAACAAAACGGTTGTTTTCTTAGTTAATCTCCAGACATCAAACAGAGGTCATGTGTTTAAATTAAACAAAAGTGTTTCATTTCAAATTATTACAGTCTTGTTGAAAATATTTATGTAGTTTTCAAGTTTTATTTTAAATTGATGCCTTGTTGGTGATACTAATTGTTTTATTCTACAACTATTCATTGCTTGATTTCGAGTTGCGACGGTTTTAGTTATTCGGGTAAGTGAAAATATTTATGTTTATTTTGACTTCTTTCAGTTTTAAAGTAAAAATAGTAATATTATTAGTTACATCAGTTTTGCTGGAAAGATTTGTTTTTCTCATTAATTCTTATTTCTTTGAAAATAATGCACTTGAAATAAGGTGAGCTAATGCTTTTCTAGAGTTCAAATAGATCTTTGAAATTACTAAATAAAAATATTCATAGTTTGATTCGTAATTGATTATTTTCGAGTTGGTACAGTATTGATGGTTATCAAGAGTATTTTATAGAGAAATATAATAATATCTATGTTTTAGAAATATGAGCAAACGTGTGCGTTTATTAGTCAGTTTGGCAAGAGAAAAACTTGAGGGAAAAGTCCCCTTTAATTTTTCATCAGAATGCAAGGAGATGCAGCCAACTACATTGAGTTCTATATCCCCTACAGTATATTTAAAAGAAAATGAACAAACTGATTACTTTATTTCACCGATTCACAGTAACGAAAGTGACTATGATGATTCTGATAAGGATCCTAATTTTGAGTTGCCGGCTAATAAAAAAAAACCATTTTTTCCTTCTATTATTCCTTTGTCCGATTCATCTTCAACTAGCAGTAGCTCTAGCGTTTCGTCAACTGATAACAGCAGCTGTTCTAGTTCTGATACTGAAAATGAAAATGTAGATCTTTCTCGAAATTCTGCTTCGTCTGGAGTTCATGAACAAGAACCTATCACAGAAGAGAAAAAGGGAAAGAAGAGAGTTTTAAAACCATCGATGTGGAAAAATAAAGTTGCAAAAATGTTAAGAAATTCAGGCAAAGCCTACCACTCTTCGTCTAAATCAAAGAAACAAGTTCCAGAAAGAAAAATTCGTTCGCCCTGTGGAAACAATTGTCGGCTGAGTTGTAGAAACAATTTCGATGAACCTACAAGGCTTCAAATTTTTAATGCATACTGGGAACTAGCTGATCTTCAAAGACAACGAGAGTTTATAGTACGACAC